CTGCAGGGGGCTGCAAGCTGCCGGGTGGGCTGTGCCAATCTGCAGGGGCCTCAGGCTAGCTGCGGTACACTCTCACTGTGCCCGCGGGGCCACCGTCCCACGAGCGCGGGGAAGTGCAGGAATGGCGGACGCAGAATCTTCGCCAGTGAGTGCTGACGGGGGACAGCTCCTCCCGGGAGACTGAATCCCAGGCTGGTCGCAGGCGCAGTGAGACACAGGATACAGCTCCGTTAGACTCAGTTATTCAGCTCCGTTAGACTCAGTGATTCAGCTCCGCTTTATTAGGGTGAAACTACAAGATTTATAGTGTGGAGGCAGTAGCAAAAGCCTCAGCTGATAGGTGCTCCTAGAATGCTTTATTTACATGAGGCAGTGGGCTTCTATGCTGTCAGACAGTGCCTGATTAAAACCTGGTAGTTTCTATGCCAGAGGTCATGTATCTGTGGCGGCCACTTCAAAGGTGAGTCAGGAAGAGAGTAGGAGGTGCCCTGCTGAAAAGGGGAGTCTTTTCCATTATGCGCTGAGCCGGCTCGTGGCTATCCGGACATGGAGAGACTACGACCCAAACAGCAGGGGGCCCCAACACATACTAATATACAGAACAATTCATGAAGAAAATATAATAATTGTAAATATGTGTATTGAATATTTAGATTTCCCATTCCATAAAATAAATACTAGTGAACATGAAAGGTCACCTGACTTCAATATCCCATTCTCATCTTCAGCTGGGTCGTCCAAGGTAAAAACCAATGGATGCCCCAGAGTTAAACTACACTGTATTTCAAATGAACCTGACAGATAAATGCAGAATAATCAAATATATAGGAATATGTATTCTTCTCAGAAGTCCATGGAACCTTCTCTAAGATAGATCACATGCCCCACGTGTCCAGTAATTGTGGTGGGTCACCTGTCCTCTTGATCAAGGAGCCTGAAGAGACCCCACGAGATGGACTTGAACCAGTGTTCAGTCTATAAAGAGGAGGGTCAACACAGAGGAATCATTTCCTCCATGCTTCCAAGCGAAGCCAACCATCATCAAGCAGGACCTTTGACTTATCTTCACATAAGCGAAACTGGTAAATGAAAGGAGCCAGGGGCTCCTCCCAAGTCCATATGACCCCTGAGGAACAGATCCTCAAACGACTTTAAGAGTAAAAATAAATCGGTTTTATCTGGACCAACTGTATGGCCTTAAACACCCAAAAGGAAAGTATAACCAAAGATTAAATGGGCCAACATAATTTCCTAAGAGTCCATATGTATAGCTAAAAAGCAACAATGCCAGATAATAGATACCTTCTTTTGAGTTGTTGGCCAGGGTGGCCCAAGAGACTCCCAGATAGTAACCCAGCATAGAACTGGGTAATGAACAGCAGACCCCAATCTTTTATCTAAAGGAATATTGACATGATTGCTTCTAGAAGAGGAACAGCTGACCTTCCTAAAACAAAGACCTCTAGATAGGCTGACTAGATTCACCAGATGGACAAGTAGTGGGGAATGGCTGGGGGTGCTGCCAACACAGCATACAGTAGCACAGATATCAGAGTATAAGGGGTCTAGTCGGGGGAGGGAGGCTATGGGAGGGTGCCATCTGGGAAGTGGGTGTATAGTTGAATAAGATGGTTTGGGATGTTCTGTGTGATACACACAGAATGAAAAACAACGAATTTTCAAAAATGTATTATATTTGAGGAGGAAGCATGGAAATTTACATCATGTTAATTAGTAGAGGTGATAAACATTACCATTGAAATCTACCCAATGACATCACAGACATACACATACACGAAGGATCCAAGTGCAACCGATTATGACTAGTAATCAGATACATACAGATTAGAGATGCATGTTCCAACATCTGTGTTAGTAGCAAAAACAATGAATCTTTCTCCAAGGAACAATATATTCTAAAATGTAATGGAGACATGGAGATCTTTTTTTAACGGTTAGAAACTCATTCAATTTTATGTCTTACAGGGCTTATATTGAGTTCAATATTGTATAACTGTATTAATTCAACTGTGAACCTAGAAACTTGCACCCACTTGAGAAAGCGTACTCTTGCTCTGGAGTGTGTTACTGAATATGTTAAAGCTGGAATGAAATGCTTCTTCTAATCATGTAGTTATCAAAAATTTAAAAAGATGATAATATTAAAAAAAAAATAGAACCAACATGAAAAAAGGATAAAAATAAATAGAAGCCAAAAAAAGAAAAGAAATTGAATGAGATTCTGCAGTAAACTATTAAATAAGTAAACAGTTTAAAAAAATAAAGCTGTTTTTAGATGATCCCTCATTACTTCTGTTGTAAAAGTTGGTTGGTGATTTAGGAACTCAGTGGCTTTAAAGTAAGTGGTAAAATCTCAGTGTCTTCCTGAGGTCAGGAGAAAGGGCACTTATTTGTAATATGCTTTAATCAACAAATAATGTCTATAAACTATGTAAATATGAAAAAAAGAGTTACAGTAATACCTAGGGGAAAAAATGGACACAAAAGCAAAGAAATCCACTGCTTCTAGAAGTGGCCTAGAATATAAAGCAAGAAAGCAGAGCTTAGAAAAACAGCTATTAGAGCTAGCCTTGGTGCTGAACAGAGTGACATTTCAGAAAACTCTTGAAACGTCTCAGCATTCCATGAGGCCCCCAGCTTCTCTCTGTCAAGAAGAGAAATGTTGTCTAAATGAAGCCTTCCTTACTTTTGAATCAGGAAAACTTAGTGCTACTAAGCCATTGCTGAATTTGAATCTGAGGTCCAGGGATATTTGATGGGCAGAGAAAAGTGTGATTTTTGGATAGAGAAAAATTTTAAGTTAGAACCTTTGTATTTCCCTAAATCATATCTAAATTATTGGATTCTGAAGGCAGTCTCAATTCAAATGAGTTTTAACTTTTGTATTTTATTGAATATTGTATTCTTGTTTTCCAGCTTTAGCTGTAAATATGTAGTGTTCAGTGGCACTGATGTAAAATATTTTCTGTCTCTGACCTTAGTTACAAATATAAAGTCTGGGAACTCAAAGAAGAATGTGGGGGTTTTATTTTTGACCATTGTTACTAATCACAGAATCTAGGGCCTGATCGTGTCATGGTTTTTCCTGAAAGCTCTTTGAGTTAATTTCTGACATGATATATTTGGATTTATATATTTTCTTGTGGAGTAGTCAGATAAGGAAATACATGTACAAAATTTCAGCTGAGAGGAAAAAGAAAATTTCAGCAGGTTAGGAGAAAACGTAAAGAGAGCTGCTCTGCTCAGGCCTGATGGAAGACAGGAAGCATTTCATGTGAAGGTGTTGAGAAGCAGCAGTCCAGCAGAGTGGCCAGAATGGCTCTTCATGGGTGAGAATGAGCCACTTGTGTTCTAGGAACATCAAATTCAGACTGGCTGGAGCAGAGCAATCTGCTGGAAATTGTGAAAGCTGTGGCCATTGAGAAATAACTCAGGGCCGTAAAACATAAAGCACCTTAGGACATGGTAAAGACTTTGACTTTTGCTCTAATTACAAGTTTTATGATTTGTCTGAAAGGAGGAGGGGTAGAACTTGTTAAGAAAAAGATGCAGGTTTTTTCCTAGCATAGTGGTGTCTCTACCAGTGGAGGAGTTCTTCCTGGTAGTACTTGTTTGAAACTCTCTATGTGATGTGACAGAACCAATACCTTGGTTTTCTTGATGTAAGTATTGCCTTACTATTACTGTATATAAGTAATAATTTGCTTTGAATAATTGTGTGTCTCATGCTATTTGCTTCTATCTTTTTATTTTAAAATAATTTTGCAGCAAGCCATAGCCTTAATTTTACAAGTAATTCCTTGGAGGTAATTTCCTTTAGTTAGAGCCAGATTAATTCTTCTAGGTTCTTTACTACATTTTAAGTGATACTTGCCCACTAAATGAATGCAATAAAATAAACTCTAATTATTCAGAAATTTTAATTATTTATTAGTATAATCATATGTTGAAAATAAGTCACTATGATAGTAATACTTTGTAACTTATCTTTCAAAAGGATTATTTGACATGCCAAACATCTCAGTTTTTTTACTATTATCATTGCAGATGAAATATCACATTAAGGGTTTACATTTAAGAATGGCAGACAATGGAATTACTCCTTGCCTTACATGCATATATCAAATAGTAATTCCTAAAGTAACTGGTTACTGGTAATATTCCCTCATTTGCAAATGCTAAAAACTGAAAACAAAAGTGTATTAGTAACCTAGCAAGGTCCCTGCAGTAATAAATGTAAAACTTCAGTTGCTATTGACTAGAATTTTGTTTTCTTCTAGTAGCTTATAAAAGTTATAGTTATGGAGCTAGGCATGGTGGCTCACCTGTAATTCTTGCAGTTGGGAGGTCCTGGAGGCAGGGATTCAAGGTTATTCTCAACTACATAGCAAGTTTGAGGCCATCATGGAATATATAAAGACCCTGTCTCAGGGACTGGAGAGATGATGCAGCACCCACATAGCAGCTAACAACCCAGCTGCAGGGGATCCAATGCCTTCTTCTGGCCTCCTCTTTACTCACATATGGTGCACATATGGTGCATATAGTCAAAATACTCATACACATAAAAAATAAATAAAACATTTTAGAAAGAGACACTGTCCCAAAAAAGTTATAATTTTGAGTTTTTAGTCTACAGGTATCAAATTCTACTTCAAATAGTATCAGTTGATTCTATAGCTATATTGAAACACAAGTCAAACATTTCCAATAGGTAAATGCTTTACTGTAGGACTGTGGGAAAGTTAAGCCATTTTATATGTGTTCTGTAATGTCTCTATAAATTCTGGGGGAAAAAAATTCATGTATTTTGCTCCTGAGCCCTCAGACTTTTATTTCCTATTTATATACTATTTCAATAAGTTTTGCACAAATAAATGTTATTAGAATATAGTAATTTGCCATGTGGAAGAATTCTAGTTATTTTACCCTTAGAGTTGTATGTTGAAATAAAATGGATTTTATGGGTCTTATTTCAGTGCTAGTGATGCCATTAAAGGAGAAGGATTGCAAGAAGGTGTGGACTGGCTTCAAGGTACATCAGGAAGTACTGTGCATCCTTAGCCTTCGTTTCTTTTCATACGTTGCATTCCTTTCATTTACATTTTAATTTTATTACATCATTGCCTTTTTCCTTTTTGTTTGTTTCTGCCATCAGAAAAAACAGTACAGTAAGTATCCAATATTTTGCTCCATTTACTTTATTATATTTTTCTAAAGGAGTTGCTTAAAGTGTTTCCACCTTTACAATCAATGTTTAGAAAATGTTTTTGATTTATGGACCCAGATTTCCATCAGATATAGTAGGTAAAACATATTTGAAGGCCTTGCTGTTACCAGTTAGGACCGAATGACATGTATTTTTAAGAGCTGCGCTGTATAGTGCTGCATAGGTAACCTCATTCACCTGGAACACATGTACAACTTCCTACACTCACAATCAGTATTATGGATGCTCTTACTCTCTGGTGCTGTGTGTAGTTTCAGTTTTGTTGTTTTTCATCAAAATAGTTATCATAGATTCATACAAAACTACTATAGTAGGAAATAAATTAAGATAAATAGTTTTCCCCTAGGGTTATATCCTCTGCTGGCACAAGAACAGCTTGACGCTCACAGCGCAATAGATAAGTATGTGTTCCATGTGTCCTTATTGTAAAATCTTAATGTTCATTCCTCCTGAGAACCTCCCTACTCTAAATAAGGGTAAAGAAGAAGATACAAATTCTCCTTATAAACTTTGGTTATAAAATACTATTTTCTTCTATACTAGCCTTTTAATGCTAGGTATGGGTGGAACTGTTGTTTATTTTTCCCCCTCTGCATTTTAGAAACCATGGCAGAGTTATAGCCTGTTTTGCTGGATGTAAGAGTAACCTGCCTGAAAATACTAAATGTACATTTCATAAACATTTATAAAATATGATCTTCCAGTTAATTCCACAGACTATTTCATTTCTATCTTGTATTTATTCCGTCAAAACATTTACCATCAAATTGAAAAGAAAAAATCTCTTAATAGTTCTTAATATTACTAGAGCGATTTTTTTTTTTTTTTTTTGAACCTACCAACTTGTTTTTCAAACTGTAGTATTAAGGTTATGGCATGCATTCCCAGCAGAAGCTGGTAGAGGAGAACTCCAGAGAAGATACTAGATGTGTGTTTTCATCCCTGACTTCTTACTGTAGCAGTGCCTACCATAACTCTCAGTGACAGTGCAGCATGAGCTTAACCCAACTCTCATAGTAATTCAGAGCATGGCACTCACTGAAAGTGGCTGATCCTTGTGAGTTGCAGCTCTCAGGTCTCCACCCCCTTTGGGGCTGTAGCAATCAAGCCACTAGGTGTCAGTAATGATCCAATGTCACAGTACCAATTTTCAATTCCTCTTGGTACCAATTGGTGTTTTTACTTTTCTGATCTGTTCTCTTACCTCCCAAGTCTTTGTGAGAACAACATATTGTTAGGAATGTGTGTTCTCTTGTCAACATGTTACAAATCTGCTGGGAATCCATCCCATAACCTTAATGCTACAATTTGAAAAACAAAGTTGGTAGGTTCAAAAACAAACCCTTCTAGTAATTTTAAGAACTATTAGAGATTTTTTTCTTTTCAATTTGATGGTAAATGTTTTGACTGAATAAATACAAGATAGAGATGAAATAGTTCATATTAAAGTACAAAGCATAGGAAAGCATCCAGTAAATGTTTTATTACCTTACCATGCTAGATAACAGAGGCAGAAACTAAGAGTATAGCAGATTCATTTTGAATAGCTCTTTGTTTTACATGTCCTATAAAACAGTAAATAGTATACATTATGATGTTCCCAATTATTTCTTTGAATATGAAAAGAGGTAAAAGCCTGACTTTCAAAACAAGTAACAGTGGATACAAGAGATTAGACTGCTGGTAATTTCATTCATTATCAAATGACACATATAAATCTAACTGTGAAAGATTTTTTGAACTTTATTCATTTATGCTTTCAGAATCCTAAAGTTTCCTAGCTTGCTAAACAAGAAGGCTCATTTTGGATCCATTAATCTTATTTCTTTAAGCCTAATATTGGAAGTATTTTTGTGAAATATTAAATATCACATATGATTGTATTCTTTTCTGGAAAAAATCAATAATTTTGTATGTTCAACAGCCACTATAAATTTTCCAGCTCTGAAACTTTCTATGGAAGTTTTTGGTGGAGTTTAGGTTTGTTTTTTAAGGCAGGGGCTCACTGGCCTAGGTCTCAGTGTATAAACCAGGCTGGCCTCAAACCTGTGGCAGTCATTTCACCTGTACTTTCTAAGTACTGAGACTACAAGCATGTTCTACCATATTCAACTTTCAAGTGAGATTTTTAAGAATTTTTCTGAGGGGCTGGAGAAATGGCTCAGCAGTTAAGAGCACTGACTACTCTTGCAGAGGACCCAGGTTCGATTCCCAGCACCCACCTGATGGCTAACAACCATCCCTAACTCCAGTTCCAAGGAAATCTGACTACTTCTGACCTCCACGGGCATTGCATATCACGGGTGCACTTACACACATGCAAGTAATACAGTCATTCACATAAAATTTAAAAATAATAAATTTTTTTTAAAAAAGAACTTTTCTGAAATAAATAATGTAAAGTTTATTTTCTCATATTACATGCATGAGAAAAAAATTAGTAGTGCTTCCAGATTTTAAAATTTCATCTTATTTTGTTTTGCAATAATGAGAATTGACAACAAAGCCTCACATGTGTTAAGAAAAAAATGCTACTTTCCCAGGAAACAGAACTAAGAACACCAAGTTGGAATCCAGACATGATGGCACACATCTATAATCCCAGTACTCCGGAAGATGAGGCAGGAAGGTCAAAAGTTTCAAAGCTAGCCTAGGCTACTTATTGAGACTTTGTCTCAAAACAGAAAAGTTGGAAAGAAAAGAAAGGAGGAGGTCATATTAGAAGACCCAGTATCCAAACCAGAGGCAGTTTAGAAAGAACAGAGAAAATAGCGAGTAGCGAATCATCAGATAGTATTTACGAGAACTGAATTTTGAGACCCCAGTGCTGTGGATTGATAATATTCCCACACCAAGGCACACCATTAGCAAGGCTCAACACCGAAGACAATAGACAATTTTGAAACTTTCCTGAGGTGGAAAAAAATAAGTCTCATATAAGGATAAGGAAATTGTTACATCAAACTTCTCAACAACAACAATTTGGGAGCTATATGATAATTCAGCAATGCCTGGAAAAGAAATAGAAAATACTGGAGTCACTTTCTCAGGTAGTGCCAAAGTATTGGGACAGAAAAGTAAGACATATTCAGCTGTATTATCTCAAGAATTGACATTTACTAATTTATATTTATACATTTATATTTACCAAAGTAGCCACTGAGAAGAGTACTTTTGAAAAATAAGAGAATAAACCAAGAAAAGAAAAATATGGGGCTGGGGCGATAACTCAGTGGGTAAAGTGCTTGGTAGGTAAGCTTGAGGATGTAGGTTCAAATCCCCAGCACCCACTTAAAGCCAGTAACACATCTGTAATCCCAATGTCACTACGACAAGATGGGAAGAACATAGCAGAATCCCCAGATATTTGTGGGCCAGCTAGCCTGGTGTACACAATGAACAAGAGACGTTGTGTTAGACAAGGTAGAAGATGAGGAACAAGGTTCACATTCACAGACACAGATGTGTGCATGCATATCATACACAAAATAATAAGCAAATAAATAAGAAAAGGATCAATAGGAAAACCATCACAAAAACCCCTAGGATGTAAATGTAGATCCTAGAAGGATGACGAAAGGTCATCAGAGAAAGGCTGGTCTGGATTAGACAGTTTTGTCAATGTCTTACCAAAGATTTCTTCAAGAAGGTGAAAATGAGGTATTATGTAATGTGCCTCACAATAAAAGTTTAAATGGTGGGAGGAGTGGGATTGATTTAGTGTTAAATGTACTTTAAAATATCTAAGTAGATGTATGAGTTGGAGGTGGAGTCAGAAGGATAGTTATTACCTTTAGGGAAAATGAAATGCAGTAGAAGAAAATGAGCATACATACCTTCTATCCTAGCTGTGAGTAGTATTGGCATAGCCATATTGATAATGACTACTGCTGCATTCAGAAGTATTAGAAGTATAGGGGTTGCAGAGGAATAGCCGCTTGGGGAATGTGAGAGCTAAAGCCTGATAACATGACTCATATTTCAGGAATTGATATTAGTGTGTTTAGTGTTACACAAGTGATTACCTAAAAGGGAATAAGTGGAAGTTATTGCTTCCAAAACAGGGAGAAGCGAGGAAGCAAGGAATTGCTATTTCCGTACACGCCTTGTAGAATTAGGTAGTTTTACTACTTATATAATACAGCTTTTATAAAACTAACACAATAGTATGAATTATGCCTTTAAAAAGTAGATGTAATCACAGGATTTGCCTTAAATTAATTTTTAAAAATGGTTTTTTTTTCCAGTGTGGATTGATAATTTTGTTTGTTTGTTTTATCAGATCAGATCCAAGCTGTGAAGACATGAAAAGATAGTTTCCGGAAACCTCATAGTTTTGAATTGGAATATATCCAAGGCAAACTGAATAATTTTATTTTTTTAAAGAGATATATTAGCCAATCATTTTATAATATTCTGCTTGCTTGCATGGACTCTGGAAGAGCTTTTTAAGAACTTAGGACAGGAGGTATTACTAATCTGGGCATTAATTATATGAAGACCAAATTTGCCCTCAGAGCTCTCTAGAATTACTGGCTTCTTATAAAAGTCTACACCTTCATTGTAATTATAATGTGCAAATACCAGTTATAAGCCATCTCAATATCCTATCATGATTTATGATGTCTTTAATGTATTTTTATTTTTTAATTGTATTTTTAAAATTTACTTTATACAATTACTTTAAAGTATAAATTGTGCTTGTGAAACAGCTTAAATATTTATGAAGGAACCACAGATGACTAGTAATATCAAAGTTCTATTGTGTCACTGTCAATAAAAGGAAAAAATGAGATGTCCTGATTGATGTGCTTTATTCATGCTGAAAAGAATTATGCGTTAATATGGTATTTCATGTTTTACTGTCGACCATGATCTGAGACCAGTTGAACTGAATTTATTCAGTATTTTTGGAATAGTTCTATACTTTCTTATTAGGGGGAGTCCTGTATACCTATAGCTGTATATGTCTATTTTGATTCACAGCTCTGAAGGTTTCAGTCTGTGGATCAGCACTTTATTTTGGGTCATTCTGATATGTAAAATATTCCTGACCTCCACAGAAATCAATTTAATGAGGGAGAATCTGAAAACATTTTATATATGACAGATAAATTTTATTTCACTAGCTAAATGACAAAATTTATCTTCAGATTAAAATGTGTAAAAGTTAATCAGTATTTGACATTAATCATTTTATAACTGACTTTTTTTCCTCCTTAATGCCTCTGTGCTAGTCTGCTTTCTATTACTATGGCAGAATACAGGAGGTAGTTTATAGAAAAAGGAAAGGTATACTGTGGTTCACAGTTTTAAAGGCTTCAGTCTGTAGTCACCTCCTTGCTTTCATTTTCCCCTGTGTGGAGATGGTGTCATGGCTGTAGCATGAAATAGAGAAAGATGCCTGCTTACGGCAGCTCAGAAGCAAAGAGAGGGGAGATGGGACTGGGGTACCAAGCCCCTTCACAGATACACTCAGTCCACTGCTTAAGGAGTTCTTTGCTTCACAGTAGCCTTCAACACAAGGGCTTTGAGGGGATACATTCAAAACCTAAATTATAGCTGACTTCAGTACATCAACAAACTATAAACTGCAACATAAATAAATAACAAACTTTTCAACATCTCAACTGCACAAGATTCTTACAATGTAAAGACCAATTTACAACTGTGCATTCTAAATGCAAGCCTTCATTTTAAATTAGTCACTGGAACTGTTCATACAATGGTGTCAATCCTGAAAAACATTGCATTTAAAAGAAAAGCTATGGTTTACAATATATAACATCTTAAACATCCTTAACCATGAAAGTAACAGAAGGCAAAGGTGAGTAATACAAATGTGCTGTTACATATCACAGCACTGGTGTAGGTTTTACAGAATTCTTTAAAAACTACAGTAAAAATTGCACAATCCACTATCTCAAAATCCAGAAATACCACTGAACAGACATTTGACAAACTGAAAATTATGCATAACATTGCAGTGGTCTAGTAGCATAGCTACCTTGTCGGCCTCTCATAAATTGCTTGGCTTCTGATACAGTTAGAATGTCATCACTCTAGAGTTGCCTCAGTCATGGAAGGGATGTGATGTGATGTTTTTACTTGTGTTCATTGTGAGACAAGGTGCTTTGAGGAGGTGAGAGGACAACTTGTAAGAGTTTGTTCTTGCCTTCCACCATGTGCATTCCAGGGATTGAACTCCAGTCATCAGCCTTGGCAGCAAGTGTCTTGGCATACTGAGACATCTCCCTAAAGCCCAATTCAATTAAAAAAAAAAAAAAAACAACTATAGTGTAACAATTTTTAGGAGGATAGAGACAGAATTCACACCCTCACCTGCCATATGTTATTACACATTTAGAATTTTACTTCATTCAGTCCTCACAACCTTATCTGGTAGGTCCTTTTAGCTCTGTTTTCTGGTTAGGAAATTGGGACCTGCTGTGTGAGACTTTTCCTGAGGAGACCAGAATAAATATCTAATCACCCCAGACAGGGCACCAAAGAACAGAGCAAACAATGATTCTACTAAAGTCCAACTTGGCGAACCAATGAGTTTATTGGGATTTCTTACTGGAGTATGGGTAGGGGAGCATGGACGACTCACTCAGCTGTATCACCTAAGGCCCACTCCAGCATCGGCGATGATTCCAGGAAGCTGCACAGTGTGCAGACAGCTGTACAGGTCAGAGTCTCCTCTCCTCTGCAGTCCTTACTGCTCATATCACCTTGGGGAGAGGGAAGCCTTGTAAATTCCAGACTTAGGAGTTGTTTACTTCTTGAGTCTAAGTGAGCTGTCTCCCTCCCACCATCCCCTCCACCCCCCTACCCCCGCCCCCAGAATGGCCTGATGCTTAATGATCTTCCTTCAGAATGTTTCAGAGGAAATTGCTACACAATAGGACCTAAAACTTTTTTAACTTGCTGAAGGTCACAGAGCTAGTGAATCTTGCTGAGCTTCAAAACCAAGCACTATGTTTACAGCAGATGATTTAAGATAGGTATGAAAATATAGATGTATTTAACTAAACTGCTTGGAAAGATCAAAGAAACTACTGGAGGTGTGCTCTGTTGGGTTTTGTTTAGTATTTTTGTTTGTTTCTTTTTGTTTTAAGGCTACCAACACTAAAATTTTAAACTCTGGGCCCAAATAAGATACGTTAGACTATTTGACAACTTAGATAAAAATAACTCTTAAAGGTATTTGAGGCTGTTAACTAGTATTCCATAAGCTGTAATAACTCACAAATGCAAATATTTAAAGGAAAGAAAAAATACTTTCCCACTTCCATGATCTTGAAGGTCTGGTTAATGGTTTATAGGCATTGTTCATCACTATGCTTCATTTCTAAGGAAAGAGTCTGTAGAATCCAGTTGAACAATAATATTGTCATAGAATGCCAAAGGTGTATAAGCTGAGATTATTGCATCTGTGTTTAGCATATTATATAATTGAGATATATCTAATTAAAATTGAAATGAGTGTTTTCTCATGCTTAGATACCACTGTTGTAAGGTTTAAGCTCTATATTTGAATATAGCAGTTTGTAAAATGTTCAAATCTTTTAACATTGTCTTGCATTTAAATATTTATATGTTGGCCTATCCAACCTGTATTTTATAAACAACAGAAGAACTTATTTTGTATATTTTTCATTTTTATTTTATTTTTAATATTTTATTATTTTTATTTTATGTGTATGTGTGTATTGCCTGCATGTTGATAAGTACACCCGTATCATGCAATGCCTGTGGAGGACAGAAGAGGCTGTCGGATCCCCTGGAACTGGAGTTACAGACAGTTGTTAGCTGCTATGTGGGTTCTGGGATTTGAACCCAGGTCTTCAAGAAGAGTCAGTGTTCTTAACCACTGAGCCATCTCTCCAGCCCCCTATTTTTCATTTTTAGATTCTATGGTGCAAATTATGAATTGTCCCCTAATTACTTAGGCTTTTTTCTTTCAGAATTTTGACACATCAATGTTATCTCCATAATTGCATGCATTTACTCATTAAAAATTTTGCCTTTATCCAGGCTGCTGTAACAAAATACCAGAGTGTTGGTGGCTAACATACAACAGAAGTTTTATTTCTCACACTAGTGGAGATTAAACATCTGCCATCAAGATTGCCAGCATTACAGGGTTCTGATGAGAGCCCTCTTCCCAGCCACAGAGTACTATCTTCTCATTGTATCCCTGTAGAAAAAAAGGAGAGAATCCTCTGGGTCCTATTTATTTATTTATTTTATTTATTTATTTATTTATTTAAGGGTCTCCCTGTAGCCCCACTCCCTGTAGCTCCAGCTGCCTGGAACTCACTCTGTAGACCAGGCTGGCCTCGAATTCACAGAGGATCCGCCTGCCTCTGCCTCCCCGAGTGCTGGGATTAAAAGCGTGCACCACCACACCCGGCCTGGGTCCCTTTTATAAGAGTATTTTATTAGTTACTTTTCTGTTGCTGCGACAAAGCACCATGACCAAGGAACGTATAAAAGGAAGATTTTATTTGGCTTATGGTTCCAGAGGGATAAGAGTCCATCACAGTGGGGAGGCATGGCAGGTTGCACCCAGAACTGGAAGCTGAGACCTTACATCTTCAAGCACTCTCAGGATGCAGAGAGAGACAAACGAAATGCGGCAAGGCTAAAGCCCACTCCCAGAGACATGCTACCTCCAGCAAGGCCACACCACCTATACCTCCCAAAACAGCACCACCAACTGGGGCCAAGTATTCAAATACTTGGAGCATACCATAAGAGGGACATTCTCATTCAAACCACCACAAGCAGTAATGTCCTATCTTCATAGAGCGCCACCATAAATTACTCCCCAAAGGCCATTTCTTCTAGTAACACATTTGGGAATAGGAATTCAAACTGTGCATTTTGGACAAATAAGCATTCAATTTTAGGGAAAATTTATCTTGCTTGTAACTAGTGTGTTAATACATGTCAATTTGCCTAACTTTGTGTATATTTCCTTTTTTGATTTTCTCTCCTTTTTTAGTTTAAAAAATAAATCTGTACTGGTTATGTATTCATTAACATGATCAAATACCTGACAGAAGCAACTTAAGGGAGGAAGGGTTTATTTTGCCTAATGCCATTCCTTGGGATATAGTCCATCAGGGCAGAGAAAATATGGTCGCAGCGGTAGGAGGCTTTCTGTGTCCACAGGAAGCAGAGGGGCTGAATGCTTATGATTTGCTTGTATTCTGTTTAATTCAGTCCGTGACCCTAGCCTGTGAAATGATACCCCCTACATTTAGGGTGGGTCTCCCTATGTCAACTAATCTAGATAATCTTTCAGGCATGCCCAAGTATTTGTTTCCATGATTCTAAATCCAGTGATATTAACAATGAAGATTAACCATCACAATTCCAATTCATTAATTTGACACCCAAATACATCACTTTTAAGCCATAAACTTCCACTCCTTGTCCCCATAGGCCATGACCATCTCATAATGCAAAATGTTTTCAGTCCAACTTGAAAATTCTCCATAGTCCTTTTTATTTTATTTTTTAAATTTCATATATATGAGTGTTTTGCCTGCATATATGTAAGTACACCTGCATTGTACAATGTGCACAGGCACCAGAGGAGAGCATCAGGGGCTGGAGAGATGGATCAGTGGTTAAGAGCACTGGCTGCTCTTACATAGGACCCAGGGTTGATTCCCAGCACCCCACATTGCAGGTAACAATTGTCGGTAACTCCAGTTCTGGGGGATTCGACTCCTTCTTCTGACCTCTGAGGGCATCGCACGACATGGGTGCACTTACAGG